TTATATATATTGCCTCTTATATTTGTATATTTATTGAGTTGGTTGCAAAATTTGTTCCGATAGAGCTAGAAAATGTTTTTAAAATGATCTAATTGCTGACGATCCACTCTCATTCATAAAAGAGTTAAGAGTTGTTAGCAAAAACTATTAGTCTACTAGTAATCATAATTTTTGTCTTTTTTGTAACCCTAATTACCCGAAAAACAAAAGTAAAGATTTTTATAATAAAAATAAACAACAAGGAGCAGTTGTGTCGGGCTCAAACTTAGATAAAAACTAGTTTTACTAAAATAGTAAAAATGGACTAATTCTTTATGAGCATATCTTAGTTCTGTTTAGCTCCTAATGCTCATGTTTGTCTCTTTCCTAATCTGTAAAATAGACATACACACACGCAAACATAAATATTGCAAATGTTTTCTTACCACAGATAGTATACTGTGATGGATTATACGTGTAATTTTGAGATACTTACTTCACTTATTTGAGACAGAATTGCGACGGATTTATTAACTATAATATCGTCGTAATTATCAGGTTTGCTTATAGTTTCCACTTCTTGTTCTTCTTCTAAACAAAATATTTTTCTTTATATATTATTCATAAAATCTTAACCATAAAAGATAGACATAAACTCTTAATATAGTATAATTTTAGTTTTGATTATATTCTCCCTAATTTTTTCTTGATAAATTATATAAGCTTAGAAAAAACGCGGTATAACCAGTATATGCAAAGCATGAAGCACCTAACCCCACCATCCCACCATGCTTACTTTTAAAATAAAACATTTGACGTTATGCTGACCATACACATATTTTAGTCACTAAACAATCTTGTCTCATTCCGAAAATTAAACACTTGTAATTATATTTAGTTTCAAATATCTAATATTCCTAACTTGTTGAAATATTAAGAATACCGCGTATAATTTAAGTTAAATTTTTAAAGAATTGATTCATAAAATTGGTTCGAATCTGCTGGCAAACACCATTGATGAAAAGAACAGCTCAAGATAGAGATATATTGGAAGTCTAATTAAGAATATACGACAAAAGGTCCAATGAAACTATGAAAGTGTTGTGCAATCGATACAAGTGCACTTAATTTGTAACACACAACAAAACTACTAATTTCATGAAGTATATAACTTTCTAATCATGATTATTAATAATAATTTTACTCTTTTTCAGCTAGTGTAGTGGTTTAATATCAAAGTATTAAGCATCAACTTCAAAATATGTACCCCCAAAATTATAACAAAATATTTTTCTTTTCATTTTATAGCGGAGGATTATAATAGTGACAGAAAAAGTAGTCCAGAGGAATTTCATACCTTTTTTAGGTCAACAATATCTAAGTAATATAATTATGCTAATTCTGATTGTTTCCTCTTAAAATATTGAATTATAGTAACATTTTTGTGAAAGTGCTGATTTGGATTATTTTTCTAAGAAAACAGATAATTAAATCCATTGTAGCACACTATTGAATAAGTAAGCTATTTTTGTTTCTAGTTTGACTAGATTAATAGTAACCTAATACTATAGTATTCTAATATTAAATTCCACATTTTGGTCTATCTGTATGCTTGTATTTGGGGAGCCGACAAAAACAATGCTTCTTGTAACATATTATTGCTTA